CAAAGGGAAAGCCGCGTGCACCGTGCGAGCGAGATACGATTGGCCCCTATCCATACGCATTTACAAACGGTATTGAATAACCAAACCCCCTAAAGAATGCAATTTTGGGCCTGAGCATTGATTGCAATTACGATATCTAGGGGGTTCAACAAAAGGCTACCCACGATATCCAACATATTCCAATTTCTACTTGATCTTGCACCACATGCTTTCCATTTCCCTCTGGAGGTGGCGTTCGACCCATAGATGGTTACTTTCACGGGTACAATAGAAGAGCAAGCTTTTTGCGAGGTTGCTATTTGTACTATAAGTCTCTCGGGAAAATTGTCCAAAAAGTCATAAATCTATTGTATTTTTATCAATTCAATCATAAACCTTAGTCGTAAATATTTTGAAATTTTGCCAATTGAATCCATCTTATCAATTTTAGCTAAAAATTGCTGACATGGACGCCAGCCATCCTACATAGCCCCACTGACGCTAACGTAGACAATTTTTAACAATTTTTTGATTTTTTTTATTAATTTTTCTTCTATTTTTCTTTCTTTCTTTTTCCGTGTTTTATTCCAAGCCCAGCGAGGGCTGGTGCCCAACCCTCGCCGGTCAAAGGTGAGGGCGAGGGTCGCAGCCCTTGCCCTCGCCTCGCGAGAGCAGCGAAGCCCTCGCCCAATGGTCGGTGAGGGTCGCCGACCCTCTCTTGTGGTCAGCGAGGTCAACCGGCTCTCTCTTGTGGTCGGTGAGGGTCGGCCGGTGACCCTTGCCGGACTTGGTAGAACAAAAAAAAAAGGAAAAGGAAGAAAGAAAAATAAAAAAGAAAAAAGAAAAAAGAAAAAAAAATTATTTTTAAAAATTATAAAAAATTATTCACTTCAACGCTGGCTGTCCTACATGGGACTTCCGGCATCCATGTTGGCGATTTTAGGTTAAAATTAGCCAGATAAACTCAATTGGCAACACGTGAAAATGTTTAAGATTGAATTGACAAAAAGTACAATAGGTTCAAGACTTTGTGGATAATTTTCCTTAAATCGCTCTATGATTCTTGGGCAGTCCAAAGTGACCCACAACATCCTACTTCCATCGAAATGCAAGAGTTAGGTGAGCAAATATTTACAAAACCGTGATGCACATAGGCTTAGAGTATATCGCTGGCCGGGTCAAGTGGATCCCGCATGTGGTCCCTCTAATTCAACTGTTAGCATCAATTTGGTAGAGAGTGCGACCCCAAAGAACCGAATCCTCTCGATGGGAATCCGTAAAAGCTTGATTGAATGAGACTTAATGTGTTGGAATGTTGTCCTAGTCATACTGAAAACTTGCGAGCAAGACTTAAAGGCCACCATGAAGATTTCTCTGAATCTTAATGGAGGGCGGAGCAAGTAAATTTGGATTCCTGAAGATGAATTGGGATGGTGCTTTGAACGTGCAAAGTGGTGAAACTGCTATTGGCGTCACTGTACAGATCATAATGGTGCAATGGCTTAGCGAACCTATTATGGAGGCCCTCCACAATAGGATTTTCAATGCACTTATCCCTTTGTAATTCGATCAAATCTATACGTTAGCACAAAAGAGGGATTAACCCTTCAATTATACCCTCATCCTCGTAATTGCTCCATTCTTTGATTTCTATTAATCATCTAAGTATTCCATTTTCTTCTTTCCCATAAACATTATTCCTAAAATTGCACATCGTCGTATATTTGACAATTTCCGGAACGACGCTACATGCACACGGTGTCGTGGAACTCGATCTTGGCTATAATTTTAGCAAGTTTTAATTTGTATAAATCGCAGTCATGTTAAAAAGCATACTTTCATGTACAACTTCCTCTTTTTATATAATGCATAGATGTGGATGCGGTGATTCCCCTTCACAATTCCACCGTGAATTTGTGTACCCCCAAAATGGCAACTAAACAGTCCTTCACCATATCTATCTTAAGATCCTTTCGCCACGAGGACCTGTGTCCTGGGAAAAGAAAGAGAAAGATATGACTGAACCACCATCTAAACGCATTTACAAACATTATTGAATGACCAAACCCCCTAAAGAATGCAATTTTGGGCCTGCGCATTGATTGCAATTACCATATCGAGGGGGTTCAACAAAAGGCTACACACGATTTTTTTTTGGGGGGGAACTGATCAAGAACCAGTAGTATTGTAATTTACTTTCAAATTCTTTTTGCTGACCATCCTTCCATCCAATATATTCCAATTTCTAATTGATCTTGCTCCACATGCTTTCCATTTCCCTCTGGAGGTAGCGTTCGACCCATAGATGGTTACTTTCACGTGTACAATAAAAGAGCAAGCTTTTTGCGAGGTTGCTATTTGTACTATAAGTTTCTGGGGAAAATTGTTCAAAAAATTCTAAACCTATTGTATTTTTGCCCATTCAATTATAAACCTTAGTCCTAAATCTTTGGACCTTTTGCTAATTAAATTTATCCAGCCAATTTTAGCCGAAAATCGCTGACGTGGACGCTGGCCGTCCGATGTGGCCCGACTGACGCTAACGTTAACAACTTTTAATAATATTTTAATATTTTTCGAATTTTTTAACTATTTTTTTCTTCTTTTTTTCTTTCTTTCATTTTCCGTTTTTTATACCAAGCCCGGCAAGGGTTGGGCACCAGCCCTCGCCAGTCAAAGGTGAGGGTGAGAGTCGCAACCCCTGCCCACACCTCGTGAGAGCCGCGAAGTCCTCTCCCAATGGCTGGTGAGTAGGGTGGTCGCAATCGAATCAAGATATGAACTGAACCGCGCCGATCCGAACTGAACTGAAAATTTTGCGCATTTCGATTTGGTTCGATTCGGTTTTCAATGCGAACCCACCTCTGCTCCTTGTGGAACCGACACGAGGGTGGTGGTGGGACTTGGGAAAGAGGCAGAGAGAAGAAGGTTTGGGCACTGCGAAGGTGAGGGAGGGTGGGTGGTGGTGGTGGTGGACCTGATGGTGGGGTATGGAGTGGAGAGAGCGAGTCGCGTTCAGAGAGCTGAATGGAGAAGAGGAAGACACGAGAGAGACATTTTGCAGAGAAGGAAAAAAACGAAAAGAAACCGAAGGAAAACGACTTTCTCTTTCTTTTTTTTTGCTAGAAACGACTTTCTCTTTCTTTTTCAAAAAGGAAAGTGAGTTTGACTAGTGTATAAAGACAAAAAGCAAAAAACCAAAAGATCTGACCTGTGTATAAAAACAAAGGGTTAATACCACGAAAAATCCTAAACTGGTACACTTGTGACACATTTACCCCAAACTATTTTTTTAACCATAAAACCCAAAGCCCAGTATGTGACAATTTTACCTCGACATACACAAAAACCCCAAACCGACATGTGACAATTTTACCCCAACTAATTTTTAATATTATTTTTTTATTTTTTTGAATTTTTTTGAATTTTTTCTTTTTACTTTTTTCTTTTCTTTTTTTTTTTTCTTCACTTCAACCTCTGGCCGGTCGCCGGTCTGGCGACCGGCCAGAGGCGGAAGCCGGTGAGGGCCGCCCTCGGCAACCGCTGGCGAGGGCCGCCCTCGCTCGACTCGGCAAGGGCGACCCTCGCCGGATCTAGCGAGGGCAGCCCTCGCCCGACTCAGGCAAGGGCCGTCCTCGCCTGCCCAGGCGAGGGCTGCCTTGCCCGAAGCCGGCGAGGGCGGCCCTCGCCCGACGCCGGCGAGGGCGGCCCTCCCCGGCTTCCGCCTCTGGCCAGTCGCCGGACCGGCAACCGGCCAGAGGTTGAAGATAAAGAAAAAAAAATAAAAGGAAAAAAATAAATAAAATAAATAAAAATTCGAAAAAAATAAAAAATAATATTAAAATTTTAATTCATGGTAAAATTGTCACATATGTACCAGTTTGGGGTTTTTTGTGGTAAGTTCGGGGTAAAATTGTCACAGATGTACCAGTTTGGGGTTTTTTATGGTCAAAAAAATAGTTCGGGGTAAAATTGTCACAGGTGTACCAGTTTTGGGTTTTTTATGGTCAAAAAAATAGTTTGGGGTAAATGTGTCACAAGTGTACCAATTTAGGGTTTTTCGTGGTATTAACCCAAAAACAAACGTTGCCGCACTGTTGCAGGAGAGGAATTTGATCGTGGAGAGAGGGTTGAGCGCGAGTCCGGTGCTATTGGAGGAGAAAGAGGAGGAGGCTATGGATGAGAAGGAGATTGTAGTGGGGCAGAGTTGCTACGGTATCGAAACATGAAACTTTTTGGTTCGATTTAGATTATGAACTGAACCAAATCGAATCGAAACTATCCAAATCGGCAAAAAAGAACGGTTCGTTTTTCATTTTCCGAATTGAATACTGAATTGAACCGAAATGCACAAAATTTTCGGTTCGATTTGGTTTTTTGGTTCGGTTCTAACACCCCTAATGAAGGACATAAGAAGAAAGGTTTCAGATTAATCTGCGTTAGTAAGATGGGGTTTTTCTTAAAATTTTCTTTTTTCTACTAATGGTGGACACAACACAAATTATGGTAAATCAGGATGGGGGTTTTCTTCATGGATAAGTAAAATAACTTTCTAATCTGCTGGACCGGCCCTACTACAAGCTTGAATTGAATCACAGCGACATCTGAATTGGATTCTTGGAGAAACATTGAACTCTTTTGCTCGATATTTATCCGGCATGACATTTCTCTGACTTACTTTGTCTATAAATGCTCTTTACTTAGATTTTATAACTTTATAGAGACAATAATATTTCATCCCTATGGATTTGATGGGGATTGTTGCAGCACTTTTGGGTCTGTTGTGTGTACTGCATTTGTCACTTCATCATGACTTAGTCTGCGCCATGTCTATCAGTCCAAGGGACCATCTGGGCCGTAAGGAAGTGACGTCTAAAGTAGCTAGGCTTATTTTGTATGTTTGTGTGTGGGGGCATGTGAGAGAGAGAGAGAGAGAGAGAGAGAGAGAGAGTAAGCGAGAGCTGCCGTGATTTGGCCGGAACCGGCCCTGTTCTCCGAGCTTAAGGATTTTGTTGAGCGGCTCAAGCCTGCTCAGCGATCGAGCTTTTACTCTCGATGCCCATGCTTAATTCTCCACGAATTTTAGGGTCACTCGAGCTTAATTCTCTGAGAAGCTTCAAGGCCCATGCTTTGGCTTTCTCGATCTTCCGCTCACAAGAACTGATCCATGCCGTCTGTGTACTTTCTCGAACGCCAGTCCGGCAAAACGTGGCGAAATGCTCACAATTGTTATTTAAGAGGTCGTACTCGCCGAAACCGCCTCGCTCATGAAGCTCGCGAGCCGTGTTCACGACTTCCTGAGGCAATCTTGTATCGGGTAAGGTCGTGCAAGTGCCCCTTTTTGTGAACATAAACCTCAGTAGTGACCGCCCATATGCATATGAGCGGAGGGAATGGAGCTTCTCGCCTTCTCGCCGGAAGCAATCGAGACATGTCGCGTCGACTCCTGTTCTCGTGAAGTGAATCACGGTGCCCTCTCCAATGTAAATTCCTAGTATAATGGCAAAGCTTGATTAGGCTTATAGCAATACGAAACGATGAGAGCAAAACAATGTGAATCGTACAATTTTCTATCGTTTGATATCAATAGCATGAATTGTCAAGAAAAAGCATCGGTGCTTGGCTTCTCATCACTTTTTTCATTTCCAGGTGCGTTTAGGAGAGATTGGTTTTATGAATTTGACTCGAATCATTTTGATCAAGAGCAAAAAGTGTCTAGTAATCGCCAATCTGTTTATCTTCTTTCTAACGCCATGGCAGCTCTCTCTTTCCACAGAAACAGAGGGAAACAGAGGCTACCTTATTGTCATTATAAATGATAATAATCGAACCCCCTCGAAATGAAAAGAAGAAAACGGCAAGATATCATGCTGAAATGATCTATCAAGCAGATGTAGGCCATGCAGGCCGAAAATTATAACAAAACCAGAGCCTGGTGAGATTATAACAAAAACAGAGCCTGATCACAAAACCATGTTGTGGAACATAAGAAGAAAGCATACTTTGGTCGAGCCACTTCCCATAACCATGTCACGGAAAAAATGATACCGCTCTGCTGCTAATGGAAAAGAAAGAAGAGGAGGAATCGCTCACCGTGGTGCGTGTACACCCCGTACCGCCGATACGTATAAACGTGATCCCCGGGCTCAAGCTCTTCCTCTGTTACCACAACTGGGAACACCTTGCTGATAATCCGAGCCGCCATTTCCGGTCCTCCTCTACTCTCTTGCACTTATGTGCTTTGGGCTGGTTTTGGATTAGCTTCGACACGCCCAAAAAGAGCGAAACCGAACAGGAGAAGGACGGGGCTTTTCTTGATCGCGACTACAAAAGGATTTGAAGCAGCTAAAGAAGGCAATTCTCGATCGATACTGCGTGGGCTTGAATGCAAGGGTGCCTTGGGTATGGTTTGGTGATGAGAGGGAGAGAGAGGGGGGGAGAGATGGATTTCCCACGGGGAGAAAGACGGGGGACTTGCCAACTTGGGGACCTTGAGCGAGGCCAGAGGTGGATTTATAATGGCTTGTAGATTTTTATTTTTTGTTTTTTTTGGTCGACGGCTCGCAGATTGAAATGGACAAAAAAAAGCTAAAGGAGACGAAGAACTTGGGGAGATCGCGTATTGAAAAAGGGCTGGGACCACGACTAGTCGCAAGACGTCTCTGTCCATGAACACCATAGCAAATGTGGGTAATAACACATAGGTAAAGATTATGATTAATAACACGAAAAACTCCAAATTGATACACATGTGATAAATTTACTTCAAATTAATGTTTTGATAAATTTATTTTTTGCTTTTTTTGGTCGACGGCTTGCAGATTGAAATGGACAAAAAAAAGCTAAAGGAGACGAAGAACTTGGGGAGATCGCGTATTGAAAAAGGGCTGGGACCACGACTAGTCGCAAGACGTCTCTGTCCATGAACACCATAGCAAATGTGGGTAATAACACATAGGTAAAGATTATGATTAATAACACGAAAAACTCCAAATTGATACACATGTGATAAATTTACTTCAAATTAATGTTTTGATAAATTTATTTTTTGCTTTTTTTGGTCGACGGCTTGCAGATTGAAATGGACAAAAAAAAGCTAAAGGAGACGAAGAACTTGGGGAGATCGCGTATTGAAAAAGGGCTGGGACCACGACTAGTCGCAAGACGTCTCTGTCCATGAACACCATAGCAAATGTGGGTAATAACACATAGGTAAAGATTATGGTTAATAACACGAAAAACTCTAAATTGGTACACATGTAATAAATTTACCTCAAATTAATGTTTTGATCATAAAAAACACCAAATTTGTACACATGTGACAACTTTACCAAAACTAATTTTTTTATCATAAAAAATCTCAAATCGTTATACTTGTGACAAATTTACCCTCTATTAAATTGGATTAATACCATGAAAAATCACAAATTAACAAACTTGTGACAAATAAAGGGGTAAAACTCCAAAATGGTATACCTATTAATTATCACGGATCATCAAACTCAGCAATTTTACAGTAAAATTTAATGGAAACTAAACAGGTATACCAGTTCGACAGTCTTTGGTGATTAAAAAATTAATTTGAGGTAAAATTATCATAAAATTTAAGATTTTTCATGGTATTAATCCTAAAGATTAAAAAGGCTTTAACAGCGAACGTACGTAAATGCACACAACTCATTTAAGAGAGGTGGTGTGAGTGTGAGTTTTGGTTTCACGTGTAAATTGATCTCGTGCCCTCTTATTGTTGGGAAAGAAGAAAATGGAGAAACATGCGGTTGGATCCAAGCGATGGTCTTTTGATGCATGATGACGGGGACAAACAGTCGTCGCTTTCAATCTTTTCTTAGAATCCTTCCAAATCAGGGTCGTCGAATAAACTGATCCCGATCAATCAATCAACCCGCCCACATATGTAGAGTACGGATTTTCAAACCAAACATTTGTGATAAATTTACCAAAAACTAATTTTTTAACCATAAAAAATCTCAAACCCAGTACATCTATGACAAATTTACTATAAATTAATTTTTTAACCACCAAAAACCCTAAATTGACAAATTTGTGACAAATTTACCCTTTATTAAATTGGATTAATACCATGAAAAATCACAAATTAATAAACTTGTGACAAATAAAGGGGTAAAACTCCAAAATGGTATACCTATTAATTATCACGAGTCATCAAACTCAGCAATTTTACGAAGAAAATTTAACGAAACTAAACAGTATACCGGGTTCGACGAGTTTTGGTGATTACAAATTAATTTGAGGTAAAATTATCATAAAATTTAAGATTTTTTATGGTATTAATCCTAAAGATTAAAAAGGCTTTAACAGCGAACGTAGGCAATTGCACACAACTCATTTAAGAGAGGTGGTGTGAGTGTGAGTTTTGGTTTCACGTGTAAATTGATCTCGTGCCCTCTTATTGTTGGGAAAGAAGAAAATGGAGAAACATGCGGTTGGATCCAAGCGATGGCCTTTTGATGCATGATGATGGGCACAAATAGTCGTCGCTTTCAATCTTTTCTTAGAATCCTTCCAAATCAGGATCGTCGAATAAACTGTCAATCAACCAGCCCACATATGTAGAGTACGAATTTTCAAACTGAATACTTGTGACAAATTTACCAAAAACTAATTTTTTAACCACTATAAACCCCAAATTGATACATCTATGACAAATTTATCCTAAATTAATTTTTTAATCACCAAAAATCCAAAACTGGTACATTTGTGACAAATTTACCCTCTGTTAGTTTCCGTTAAAATAGATTAATATCATGAAAAACTACAAATTAGTATACCTGTGATAAATGGAGGGTAAAACCCTAAATTGGTATACCCGTTAACTACCACATGTAATCAAGTATAACGATTTGACGATAAAATTTAACGGAAATTATCATATGGTAAATTTGTCGCAAGTGTACCAGTATATGATTTTTTATGGTCAAAAAATTAGTTTGGGGTAAATTTGTCACAAGTATACTAGCTTGGGGTTTTTGGTGGTATTAACCCTAATATATTTTGTGTTTATCAATGCTTAAAGTGAATTATTTTTCCCAACTTTGTAAGATTTGATATGGTTGTATTCTGATTATCCGTTAACTTTTTTTTTTTACTTACGTTACTATATTAATGTAATATAGAGGAATTCACGTCAAAATAGTGAAATATTGGCGGCCCCATACTTTAACTTTTTAATGAGAAAATTGATATCGAGCATGAGCTACTGTTTAGAAATTACAATAAAGTTTTTATAAGATTGTGTAAAATGTGAGGACATATTATAATAATTGCCTTGCCGTTTCACCGAGACAGATGACTCTAGCAGTTGTCTTATATCAGCCAAAGTACAAACACCTAACATAAGTATAAAAAAAAGTTCCAATTCTATGGAGCTACCTGATATGAAATGGCTCCATATTAAGTAAGTTTCACTTGTGATCTCTTAATTTTATTGAGATTTGTAATTAGAGCACTAAAGTTTAATTTAAATCACTTAATGCACCAAAGTTCCTTCATTTTCATTCTCTCTTCAATCACCAACGAGTCAATTTTGGTGCGAGGTCTCTAACTAACCTAGGAGCATATATTGATCAATTTGCTATTTTTCTAGCCGTAGAAAATCCCTACCCTTTATTTTGAATCTTTAAATATTCCAGCCGACACTGATCCGGCAAAGTCTCCTGCATTATCACCAGCATTGATTTCCAACTTTGCGGTGTTGGTCCCCAACACATCGGGCGGTTGTCAATCTCCTGCATTATCACCAGCATAGATTTCCAACTTCTACCCAACCACATCGGCAAAATCTCAATGTCAAAGCGGTGGTCCCCAAGGTCAAGAAGCCCTTTTTCATCCCTCCGATGTGGTTGGGATGTCGTCACGAACATATAAATTTCCGTTGCATCCTCCTCAAGCTGTGCGAGAAGACGTTTACGTTCGATGCCGGTCTCTCATGGGTCGTCATTGCAGCAAACTTGCAGATGAGAAATACAGGAATGTCGCTGCCTAAAGAATTACAATCACAATTAGAAAAATCCTCCAATTTCGTTGCTACACAGGCGGAGGGCCTGATCCTCTTTGCGTCGGTTTTTTTTGTGTGTGTGTGTGTGTTTTTTTTAATTTAGCTTTTTTTTAGTTTGTCTTTTTTTTTGGAAAAATCATTGGATTTTTTAACCCAATTTAATTAAATTTGGTGTAAAAATTAGGATTCGGATCAAAATGGCGTCGTTTTAGTGCTTCGGTTAACTCTAACTCCACTTAGGAGTGAGAAAATAAAACATTACGACAGCATTTTCCGTTAGCCAAGTTTGAAGGACCTAACGAGAGGGCTTGATCGTACCAACTTGACAAGTTTTATGATTTGATTGTGCTTTTTGAAAGTTTTAGGACTCGATCTCACTCTCGCGACAATTTTAGAACTTTTGTTATACTTATCCCTTTTAAATACTAGTCTCGTTTATGTACTTAAAGGAGTATAATAAAAAAACGGGCAAATGCCACATAACACCTCAAATTATTCTCTCCGTGACACAAATATCCCAAACTTTTTTTTTGTGTCACTTGAACCTCTAAACTTGCCCATTGTAACACAAATACCCCCAATTTTTTTTTTGTGTCAAGAAAAAACTTAAACTTATACATGTGTGATATATATACCCTTTATTTTAGTTCCATTCGGGGTACATTTGTCACACTTGTATAAGTTTGGGATTTTTTATGACACAAAAAAGGTTTGAAGTATTTGTGTTACAATGGGCAAGTTCATGGTTTTTAGTGACATAAAAGAGTTCGAGATATATGTATCGCTGTATGCATAGTTTGGGATTTTTTATGATATTAATCCTAAAAAAAATTATAAAGTGGGATCACATACTCGGATACCTTATTTGATTTGAAGACATGTACACTTATGATATGTCTGCATTGGATCCACATAATAATTAAATTTTCTATACTCGTGGCACCTAGTGACGTGCGTTGAAAACTTTGGGTATCGTTTGTCCAATGAGAAGAGAACTCTGTGGTGTTAATTTCGTTCATAAATACCTATGCTTTTGCCTGCGGATTCCATTCTAATTGCATCGACTCAAAGACGAGGGGTTTGAATTAGGGGTGTATTAGTTTGTAGGGGCGAGTAGTTCCAAGTTCCGTACAGGTTCCACCTGGAATTTGGAACATACCCATGGGAAA